TTCGGTTAAAACCGCACCCTTCGGACACAAAACCGAACCGCACCGAAACCGAACTCTGCAGAAACCGCACCGTACTGCACCGAATGCAGCGGTTCGGTTCGGTTTTTTGGTTTCGACTCGGTTTTGCTCACACCTATGGATGGGGAAAAAAATGGAAAAATGTGAATAAAAAAGCTAAAGCGTCATTTATTAAACTAATTGTCAATAAAGTCAAAACGATATTTATAAAAAACAGGAGGAAGTATTACATAAGTTTTGTGTGCCAAAAATAATAACGGCCTACCAAAATTAATAATAGTTATTAATAATAATTGTTACTCAGCTCGCCACTATCTCTGTTGCTTTCGATTTCAAAATAAAGCATGAAAAAGACAAATTCAATTGCAGGCAGTTCACATGAATACACGCATGCCAATTTCGAATTAATGATAAAAATAATGAATAAATTATATTGAGAGATGGAGAAAAAGATAGGCAAACATAGCGACTCATCCGCTATTAAATTGTATTAAATATTGTGCAGAGAGAGAGATGAAGAAGATGCTGACAGGATAAAGACATGGAAATATTGAGCAATGTTTTATTTATAGTTTATGTTTGGTATATTAGAAGATTTTTTTTTTTGTTGAAAACGAATTTAACAAAACATAAACTGATTTTTTTTGTGTACGTGTATAGTTTATATTAAGTACATATATATATATATATAATATTTTAATTTTTTTGCAATAATATTAAGTATATTTTCGGTATATGATAAAGAAATTTATCGCGAGAAATAATTTTTATGTATAAAATCAGTTTATATTCAACATAAACTAAATTTTTTTTGTTGTGTATATGTATGGTTTATATTAAGTAACATGTTATAATATGTTTATAAACTATATATATACTTTTATGTATAAAAGTTAAAAAAAAAAATTTGATGGAAGACATGTNATATATATATATATACTTTTATGTATAAAAGTTTAAAAAAAAAAAACAGGAAGACATAATTTCTTGATGGAAGACATGTTTCTCATTGCAATATATATTGAATACTCCCTCCTATTCATAATAAGTGTCGTTTTGGGAAGTTGCACACTAATTAAGAATAATTTTTTTGTCAATAATAACCCTCATTAATAAAAATAGAGATGGATGTTTTAAAAAAAAAGATGAAGAGAATATGAAAAGACGTAGTGTATTTATTAACTAAATGAGGGTAATAATGGAAAAATATGTACAAAAGATCCAAAACGACATTTATTTTGGTTAATAGTTGATAAAGCCAAAATGACATTTAAAAAGAATATAAGGTAGTATATACTAACATAAACGCAATATACACCACCTGACAGCTGCGTGAATTAAGGAATTCAAGTTGTACGAATTAAAGAATTAAAAGAGTCAGTTATTTATTTTCAACGCATAAAAAGGGGGATGGTGGTGGGAAGGATATGGCTGCCTTTATGCATTAATATAGATGTTGACATCCGAGTTCTCCCCAAAAGAAAACCGGACAAAAAGACAACTCCAAAAGCCGAGCCGGAAACCCGGTCGGGTGTGCAAGTGCCGAGCTGAATCCTGAGTTAAACCAACCATCACATCTCTATAGGTCTATCCCCAAACCCAGCATTTGTGCCGTTCAAGCACCGGTGCCGACCTCGAATAGGTGACGGTCTGAAATGAGACTCCCGAAGGCCGGAAGAATGGAACGAGCTCGAGAGCCAGCCTGAGATTTCAGAGCGGTTGCTCCAAAGGCAGGTGCGGAGCTCGATGGTAATATAATAATGTCACTTAGAAAGTAATCATTGGTGATTGACAGGACGTCGTAGCCTACCGGTCTATATCAGCTAGCCAAGACATAAAGTCTGCCAACATTAAATGCACCCCATGTGTGCATTAAATGTCTGACAAGCAATGATTAAGAAAACCTCAAATTGCATTAATATCTGTTAGGGAGGCGCCGGACCGCTCTGCAAGAACACTATGCGACAAGACCGATGAACAGTACCTGAACAGTACCACATTTAAGAGCACTATAAATAGAAGTCTACCTCATTTATTTCTGGGTTGTTGAATTCTCAACTAACAGACTCTCTCTCCAAACTTGTAATCAATCCCAGTAAGAATTCGTAAGGAAATCACAAGTGTCAACCTCGTACGAGAGGCTGACCCAGTGATCTATTAATTAAATCGTAATTAATTCGTATCTCATCGTCTTTTTCTCATTCCGTATTTTCATTATTCGTTTCTTTAACCGTTGATCGAAACCGTCCATCAACAATAGACAAATAAGGTTTTTTTAGATAGAGACATAATTATTTCAACTTGTATGATAAAGTTGCAATTAATTTAAAATCACATAGCATAAATAAAAATTTCCCTTTGTTTTATAAGGGCCGGTTGATTCCTCGAGTTATAAAACTTTACTTTTTGTTCTATTAGAGTTTTCTGTATCGTTTAAAAAAATAAAAAAAAAAAGTAAGAAATAATTACCCTCTACACAATTCCGTTCCTTTTTATTTCCCAAATGACGAGATTAAAAACTTCATTCCATTTCAATATTCACGGATTCACAATTACGAAATTGTAAACATTTAAATGTTACGTGTCATCCTGATCTCATCCGCCGCATCACTCCTGTTCCCCCTTTTCTTTTTCTTTCTCCATAATTTGTCTCTTTCGGCTTTCATACCCCTTCCCTCAATCGACAGCGGCGAATTGATTCAATGGCCCATGGGTGGCTGAACGAGGGTTCGACGGTTGGATTACGAGTAGGGCTGAACGGACATCGATGGGTTCTCCTTAGAGGGGCATCGAGCCGAGGGTTTCGACGAGAGGTTGAGCGGCAAGGCCGGGCATTATGGTGGTACATGGCTCTCGGACTGGCATTGTTGCTGATTCTGCGATTTTGGTAGGTTTATTTATATGATTTTCGTGCATCTTTAGCTTAACAA